GTAGTAGTAGTAGTAGTACTCGTAGTAGTAGTAGTAGTAGTAGTAGTAGTAGTAGTAGTAGTAATAATTAGCAGTAGTAATTAGTAGTAGTAGTAGTAGTAGTAGTAGTAGTAGTAGTAGTAGTACTACTACGACTACTACTATTACTGCTACTGCTACAGCTACTGCTACTTCTACTTCTACTTCTACTTCTACTTCTACTTCTACTTCTACCATTAGTAGTTCTGCTACTACTACTTCTACTACTACTACTACTACTACTACTACTACTTCTACTTCGACTTCGACTTCTACTACTACTACTACTACTACTACTACTACTAGTACTACTACTACTACTACTACTACTACTACTTCAATACTACTACTACAAAACTACTACTACTACTACTACTCAGTGATGCTGCTACTACTACCACAACTATACTGCTACTGCACCTGCTGCTCCCGCTGCTGCTGCTGCTGCTGCTGCTAATGGTGCTAGTATTTCCACTACACATGTGGTCGAGAACCTTGGATTCGACGGGATCCTCAGCATGATGCAAGTCCATGCAGGAAGACCCGCCGATGCCACCACCACCAGAAAAGCCCGCGGATGAGGTGGCCGTCGTTCTAAACCAGATTGTGTTTCACGGGAACGTATTCAAAAGCCTCACGTTGTCCTCCTGTGTGTCGGAGACAGAGGAACGTGCGGAACCCCAAATATCTGCAACTGGTGTTTTAATACATTTGCAGTTTTCTTAAGTGTGTGGTGCTTGTTGTCCAAGGAGGCAGAGCGGACGACTAATGTCAGTTGTTTGTAGAGAGGCTTTGCTTATATCATGTTTTACATTTTTTCAAGCGGGCTTTTTTCAAGCGCGTGGCAGAGGGTCAGCACTGCTGCCCGGGATTCGGGGCCTAATAACTTCGCCACTAAACACAGCACATACCTTCCACTAGCGCAAATTTCACAACACGCCTCCGGCAAGTGACTGTTCGGGTACATGGGGTTGGACTCGGCATCGGGGCTATCAGTTGGAGCGTGGTCACTCACTAGAGGCTTCGTCCCAAGACCTGAGGTCAAAGGCCTCGTCCCAAGACCTAAGGTGGTAAGGCGACGAAAAGACCCTGACAAGTTTTTATACTCAGCCAGAAGCTGTAAACAGAGACCAGTTTTCAACGACTGGTGCCAGGTGGAGAAAACCAAGCAATCGGTGAAGAAATCCTCGCTGAAGCAGGCCTGCCAAATGGTCGGGTACTCTACAACTGTGGCCAAAAGTGGCATGTGCACAGGATTCCGGCAACGGTTTCGAACAACTTTGTAGATAGTGTTATCATGACATCATCCTCGTCAGAAGCCGGGCTTATGCACAACATCTGCTTTGCTTGTTAGCAAGGCCATTAGCACTTGCAGGCATAACATGCAAAGAATCACCGCAAGCGTTCAATGGCACAACCCTATAGAAATTACCAGTAAGGTCTGCATCAGAAATCACCTTCACCCAGAATGAACAACAGAAGTGCATATGGTGTATTGCGATTGGTGGCAAGAGTAACATCAGGAGTAACCACACTTCTGCATACCGGGCTCCCTGTCCCGCAGGCAGGGTCAGTGGCGCTGCTTGTTTCCGAGGCCTGCGCAGCATCCCGTTCATGGGCGTTAGAGGATGTGCATCTTGCGCTCCTACAGTTAGCCTTTGGGCTAAATTGACAACTGCCGTTGCCAGACCGCTGACTCCTGTCGCCGGATTTCATTCAGGTCAAAAGCTGGAGTTCGGTAGGATCTCTTGCGTGTTTGTTCCCAGAGGCCCAGGGTGACGCAACTATCTGCCCCGCACAATCTCTGCGCGATGTCCTGCGTGTGTTTAAGCCCGCTCCGGAGAGGTCACCACAGGCGAACGCGTCCTTACGTTCTCCTTTCGGCTTTCGGTTAAAGGCTGTGTAGCACAACATTTCAAATGAATCACACAGCAGGCTCCAGGCGGATGTCAAACTGCTGTGTCGCTAGTGCGTGTAGCACGAAAGGTCCGTGAAAGTTCCGCGAAAGTCCTGCTAACGTCGAGTTTGCCATATCAAGGCAAGGTACCATTGCTATTTCTATAATATGGCTACCAGTGCCACGTACTACAACTAGCACCAGCATTTGCAGTAGCACTAGCGCTAGCCCCCGAGAGCGAAGAGACATTTTTATTATAATCATGTCACCGACTGGACGGGAGACGAGGCAGCAAAAGACCCAAACTTGACTTGGAGAGTCCGAACAAGACAACGGACACGTGCTATTGAACCTTAGAAGGCTGATGCCGCGACTGTCCTCGACTGCTATCCCCCATGAAGATAGAACAGTTGCCAAGAACGACCGGTGGCTTGGTCCGCTGATTGTAGCCAGGTGCAGAAGACGAAGCAATCGCCGAAGAATCCCTCGCTGAAGAAGGTCTGCCTTTTCGTCGGGGGCTGCGGGTGCAGGCTACCAGTTTAGCCAGATTTGGCATGTGTACGGCTTCCGGCCTGGACCAGCACTGCCACAGTAGCAAACAAATGTATAGAATAGATGGTGTTCTCATACAGCGTGCTCGCAAGAATTTGGGCAAGCAGGCGCAACATCTACGTACAGTAGTTGAATGGCCACTACATTGCGAAGTTTTGATGGCGACAGCAAGCACCCACGCACTTCCACATACGGCTCCAGTACTGCAGGCAGCGTCAGCGGTGCCACCATCGCTACCTTGCGAGGCCTGAAAAACATCCTACGAGTCCGGTCAGTCCGCGGCACGTACGGGGTCGTCACGATTTAGAAGATGTGTTTAGAGGTTCCTAGTTGATCTTCATCGTTAGCCAAGCCGTTTTAGATTCTCAATGTTGGGTTACAGGCTGTCCCTGACATTTAGTGCCTTTCTCGCCAAACAGCTTGCATTGAATCCTGCGGGATAGGGTGTGAGGGATTGGATTTTTGCTTAGGTTCCGTACGGGGGGGTTCACGGCTTGTCGGGCCTTGATGTTATTTGCAGCTGACTTCACAGTTCTAGTTGTTTCGCTTCAACATGCATACTGTAAAGGGAGACGCTGTGCCCCTACAATCGTTCTGAAAGCCCAAAGCCGAATATCATAGCCACAATGAGTTATGTAAATGCAAGCTACGGCCCAAACCGGTGCCCTTTTCAGCATAAGCCTCCTCATGCGTAACTAGCCTAGAAGATCTTACAAGCCTGGGCCGCACCTGAATTACAAGCCCGACCCGCACTGCGCGATGTTCGACGTCCTTTGAGGATTCTGGTGGCGGAAGATCGCCTTCCTTGGATGGCCGATCCGCCAAGGCTGTGGAATGCGACTTGTTTCTGTCTCTCTCGATCCTTCCAACTGTTCCACCTTAGCACTTGTGTGTGGAACAGTACGATCCACGGCACACTGAAAGCAGTCGCGCGGCGAACGATCTTCATGGTACTGTGCCAAGCGCTTCCGAGAAGCCACTTATTGTCACCTTGAGTAGGCTAGCAGCCGCCAGCAGCACAGGCTGTTTGTCATGTTCGGCGCTGTACGCAGCGTGAAGCAATGCACTGTCAGTACACTGGAAGCGCAACGCGTTTCAGGACATGGACTTTGGGTAAATACTGTATCGCGAGTATGTGCCATTCGTTGAGAGCCGGAATGGCTTCATGTTGTGCAAAAAACACAAACTGCAGATGTTGGGACAGCTCTATCGTAGTCGGTTTTTCTTGGTGATTGCCTGACGGCTGCTGCTGGCAGACTCTTTGGGGCCAGTGAACCATGCTTTGGAAAGTCTCAGGCATGGATGCAGGAATGGCTCAGCGACAAAGTGGTGAGAGATTCACGGCAAAGAGGGACGGGTTAGCCGGGGTTAGCGTGACGACGATGCACCGCCGCCACCACCACCACCACCACCACCACCACCACCACCACCACCACCACCTCGTGCTACTGCCCCTGCTCGTGCTCTTGCTGTCGCCGCTGCTGCTTCTGCACCGTTGCCATGGGGGGCGACTGTGCAGCTGTAGCTGCCACTGCCATGTCCACCAACACCACTGCTATTTACTGCTGTCGGTGCTTTTGTTCGCTCTTTCGGTATACTAGTACTAGTTAGTCGCTAGGCCCGGCACGTGACCAACATGTACCTAAACTCTACCCTGTGGCAGGGGAAGGTTCGTTTCCAACATGGTCAAGACGACAAGGACGACAAGGCCCTCGGCAAGTCCCCCAAACTTCCAAGCCCATAGCTCAAAGCCCACAGATCCCGAAGTCCGACACCTAAGCCAACGAAGGCCGAGGAAGACAAGAAGCCGGAGCCAACGCCGCAGCGAAAGGCGGCTAAGAAGAATCCAGATGAGAACAACAATGTGACCAAGGCCAGCACCAAGGAGGACATCATGGCAAAGACTATGTTCGATATGATTTACACAGTCACGCTGCAGAATTCAGGGGTGTCTTACCGGGTCTTGTACGCCACAGAAAGACAAGCGCAGATTATTGGAAACAATCCGGACACTCTTCAGAAGTTGGCTGAGCAGTTTCGCACTGCGGAGCCAAAGGTGGTGATAAACTTGCTTACTTCTCTGGGCACCGCACACCTTAGAAAGCTTGAAGCTGACGTGGACGTGGAGCACCGCCTGGACATGTTTATGCGGCACGTCTTATTGCCAATTGCGGAGCAGACAAACGCTCTCGTCCTATGTGATGCGGTGAAGGACCGATGTATACTTGCAGATTCCTTCGTTCGGATGTGTCGGGTCAGACAAGGTGCTTGGAAGAAGAAGATGCCCTTCACGCTGCTGGGTTTCACAACGATGAAGGAGCTTGATAAAGGGCCTGGGAAGCACCTCTGGAGCGATCTGATGGAAAGATGTGGTGACCACTGTGATGATGGACCTTGGAAGAAAGCATGGAAGGAGTCCCTACGGAATGGCGATGACTATAACCACGGTCATGTCCATGGGTTTGACCAAGAGCAAGAGCAAGACCACGACCATGACCATGGCACTGACAGTGTTGACATCGACACCTGGAGAGGTGGAGATATCCAACCACTTGTATCCAACGTGTTCCTTAGCTGATATTTGGGCTATTGTTTTGTCAGTTCTTTTTACATCTTGGACGCCCTATTCACCCTTGCCTCCCGAGTGGGTGCCTGGTCAGTCTTGCCCGTCCTCCACTGCTATGAGTAGATTATTGCACTGTTAGCCCCTTATTGCAGTCTTGCCTGTCTGTGGTCGCGCCAGTGCGGAATGTGGAAGCAGAGCGGTGTTTCAGTTGGACCAGCGTGTTTCGAGATTTGTTGTTACGAACTTCGCAAGTAGAGGGCTGCTGAAGACTGGCTGCAGGATCATTGCGGGAGGCCTCGGAGGTAGCAGGAGTCTCGCTGCAGCTGCGGCTCTGAAGACGGCCTTGGTCTCACACTTGGGTGCGAGCGTTCCATCCATAGCCTTCAAGACGGGCATGTCCGAGCTGTCGCATCTGCAGCAGACCACTCAGTCTGGTTTGGAGACCGCAGTGAATGCCATCCAGCAGCAGACGTCGGTCATCTTCTTGGATTTGTTTCCTAGAGACAAACTGCGTCCTCACAGCATATTTCAGGCTGCAGGGATCGAGAACAGGAAGAGACCACAACAGGAGCTGCCAATTCGGCCCCATGTCGTGTTGGCAGAAGCGGGGCAGGACCGTGACGAAAAGTTTTTGGAGGCAGCTGAATGCATTATGCGCAAGGGCATCGATCCCCACGACAAGCACAACTTCTTCGAAGGCTGTGCAATTGCAAAGCTTCATTGGAGGTGCCTTGCAACTCGAAGCCCGAAGAAGAAGACCAGATCGAAGGGACTTTTACCTCAAGTTTGTTATGTTGTCAACCTTGAGAACTTGTCCGGCATTGGAGTTCATGCCTCCAAGCAAGCAACACCAGCGAGTGTGTCGGTTCGTTGTGGGTGAGCGATGGATCTCCCTCTAATCATGACGCGTGCTGTAGTACCTCATCAGAGATCTGGCAGCCACCTGCTTCTGCACCGTTTGCACCGTCCCCGGGGTCGCACGTTGTGCTGGGGGAGCGTGCGCACATCAAGTACAGCTTCCTGCAGGAGTAGCGTAAAGTTTGGAGGGGTGTGCGGAAGACAAAAGAAACGCCGGAGTAATTATCATGACTCAAGTCCTTGCGACATCCGCTGCGGCGTCATCTTCAGTTTGAGACTCGAACGACGCTGCAGAACTGAGGGCAAGTTTATGCCGGATGCCCAAAGAAGGCTTAGTGATAAGCAGCGTCCTGACTGAGCATGGGAAACGCTGGTTCCTCATACAGCTCGATCGGATTTCATGTAAGCACGCGGTCAACGCAAGGACCCCCAAGGGCGCTATGCTGTCGCTATTTTTTGGAAACGAGGGATTGTGACACAAGCTGGTCAGAATGGCATGGAACGCTTTTGCAGCTTTTGAAAATGGGCAAACCGGAATAGGTTTTCCCTGCTTGCGAGCCGTTAGTGTTCTGTGTATGTGTGCACAGGCTTCCGTACACCACTCGCTCGCAGGGAGGAAGGGAGGGGTTGGTAGCGCGAGCTCGGGTCGGAGGGTATGGAGGGCCGTGCCACAACATGACGCGTCTCTTTGAGCACTTTCTGCTCAGCATCTCGTCGTGTTGAACTCCAAGTCGTCGGATTCGGCATGTTCAACTCGGTGCAGGCACATGCGTGCGCTGATGAAGTCGTTCACACTGACTGGAGAGAATGAGAACTCTTCTGCATTGCTTGCGTGTTCTGTACGGACTGCTCAGTACCGTTTTTGAAATTTGCAATTGGTACAACGACGTTGCTAAAGATCGCATAGCGCCCCTGCAGGTACAGGACAGTCTTTGGAGAAGCCAGTAACAAAAAGCAGCGCCAGAGCAAGTTTGCACTCTGGCAGGCAATTCGCTTGGAGGAGACTTGAAGACATGTGTGCTTGTTTGCTTCAGCACGCAATTGTTCAGGGACACGGTGATGCATTGTGCGCTTATTTTTGGAAGTTGATGGCGTTGCAGGAGCGCAACCGTGAAACGCGAGATATAGATGGAGTTCGTCAAGCTCGTTCCGTTTTGTACAGAGTATTTCAGAAGCAAGCAGAAGCTTCTTTCCGGCAGCGGCGCTCTATGCTTTCCATGGGAGCTGCTCCTTGCCTGAGTTGGGATGTTCATGTGGCATCATCCCCGAGTCCGGGCTCACACCTTCCCACATGAAGTAGGATGAAAGACACATCCTCTAGAGCGAACTAGTATCGATAGTCGATGCATATTCCTGCCCGGCAGAATCAAGTCGGCCCTTGTGGTACCTGATAGACAGATGTGCATGTGTCCAGAAAGCGTCCTCTTCGTTTGAGCCGGAAGAGACAGCGACACAGAAAGAGACCAACACCGAGAAAGCAAGCAAGCAAGCGAGCAGGAATAAGAGCACGCAAAGAGAGAGTGAGATAGAGAGAGAGGCGAGGACATGATTCTGATAGGATCTGTGCATTTGCGCAGGGCGGTGATATTGGCCCGGGTCAGACGCACGGCTCAGCACATGCAGACGGTGCGGGGCGTTGCAGATGGTGCGGGGCGGTCAATGCATCTTGTAATTTAACCAGAAGTGCTTTACATTGTCATATGGCTGGGAAGGACCTTCCTCAAGTCGGCTGTGCTCTTTTTTTGTCATAGCATTACATCTGCTAAGGACAAAGAGGACGACGAAGCTCAGGGCAAGGCGGGCTCGCAACAGGACTTGGTTCGAAGATCACCGTGTGGAAGAATATGGCTTGCAGTGCTGGCTGTTATTTCAATACCGCAATTCGCAAGGAAAGTCATCAACGAGGTACAGGGTCGAATAATGATTCGTGGTGAATGTGCACTTAAGCACGCGAATTGATTTGCAGCCGGGGTGCGTTAAGAAGAGTCCGGCTGTTGTTGATGCTACCTGCGGGTCTAAGTGCTAAGGGCTCAACGAGCACACACAGGCGCAACATCGCGATGTCGATGTATGTAAGCTTCCTTCATCGCCCGTCCTCGTTCCAAACTCTGCCTTCTGCTAGCAGGCGGTTTTACAACACGACAGACCGCTCAAAAACTAGTTGCCTAAGTTGTTGTTGGTTGCAGCGTTTGGAAGGTGCAAGTAGCAGCCGACATGGATTTGGAATTCTGTATATATTGCCCGACAGCTGCAACCCCAGAAATCCGCATTGAAGCTTGGAGGCAGAATCGGATGCAGTCCCACGCGGCGACGAATCGAAGATGTATGCTTTCGTCGCTCGATCTACGGAATTGGTGAGTTCGGACTTGTTTGCATCGATCAATATTTGGCAATCTCAGAGCGCGCTGGAGAGGAAAATCTACCGCATCTTGACGAGGAGAGACTGTTCATAACGGGCTGTATGGAGACCGCAATGTTGGGTCGTGGCTGTTATCCTGGCACAACCCCAAGCCCACTGGAATTAAAACCAGATGGGATCCACACGAGTAGACTTATAGGCGGTCTTCCCGTGGCGAAGCCGATGTTTCGGCTTAGCCCACACAGGCGCTAGAGGGCCACCACCCAAGCTGCTTCCGAATGTGGCCCTGACAGGAGCAGACTTCCGCCTCAACACAATCTTGAGGCTCTTCGGCTGTTGCGTGATGCCTGGACCGAGTATGATGTGGCTAAACACTTGGCGACGTACTATGGCCGTTTGAGCCGGCTGTGGTATTTCTTCCAGATTGGGTGTGGGCTGGTTACTATCGTTTTCAACGTTATTGCCGAAACTCAGCATTTGGAGGAATTCTACACTTCGTTGGTAAACTTTAACCTATCATTGTTCTGCACAACCCTCATCTCCCTCCATGCCTTTGCCAATCCCACAACCCGTTGGCACAAATTGCGGTGTGCTGCAGCGGAACTGGAGAGTTTGACATGGCTTTTTCGGACGAAGTGCAGGCAGTTCGAGCTGGGTGATATAGACTTTGAATCCAACTCAGTCACCTTGTTTCGGGAGCAGCTTAACGAATGGCGTAGAACAGTCGTTCGAGGCACGGATTTGCATCGGTCCGATTTCCAAAAGAAATGGCCACATAGGAAGTTGACAAGGGGTCAACACGAGAAGAGCCGCATAAAGAGCGACAAGGACTGCTCCGTTCAGAAGCCAGCAGACGATGAGGACATGGTTGAGGGCGATGACGGCGTATGCAGAAGCACGAAGGTTGCAGATGCCGGGGACCTCTGCAACCAGTCTTCGCTGTCTTCGCCAACCGCTGGAAAGAAAAGTCGTTGTTCCGGTGGTTTTATGCAGCTTTTCTGCTGCGGCCGCACGCATCCTACACCGCAGGAGGTGGACGAAGAACCCGGGGAAGAATGGGACAACAAAGACGATCCTGAACAGGGTGACAAGAGCCAAGCAACTGATGCCGAGGCACCGTCGACAAAGACTGCGGCATCGAAAGCTTCGTTATATGCTTGGCAGGATGACCATCACAGCCCGGCCAATGCGGAGGAATATATCCGATGGCGTTTGCAGACAATGAGGCGATTTTATGAGAAACGTCTTCCAAGATATGCGAAGTATCATCGGTTTATCTTCGCCCTGACGCTGCTTGGATCGATGGGCTGCTCCATCTTTGCCTACATCGAGTTTAACTCTTGGGTCGTGGTCTGGGCTTCACTAAGCACTGCGGCATCTTCCTGGATGGAGTTCTCCAATGTCTTGCAAAACATTCAACGCTACTCCGACACCATACAGGAGTTGAAGAAGCTGGAGGCTTGGTGGGAGAGCCTTCCGCCCATGGAGAAGGCTTCCAAAGAGAATCTAAACCTTTTAGTCTGCACCTTTCAGAAGATGGAAGCTTTTGTGTGTTTAAGCCGCTTGTGAAGACACCGAGACAATCCTATGATTGTGGTTCAACGTAAGTCAAAAGCCATAAGCCCAGGATATGCGTCAGTCCTGATGACCCGAAAGCTTACCAGCAGCTAACCTAAACGAAAAGTCCACAAACGAATGCAAAAGTTATATGTATATATGGTTGCTTAACCTGGAACATACACATCTGTCTACCGACTTACCTACCCACCTACCTGCCTGCCAACCTGCCTGCCTACCTACCTACCTGCCTGCCTGCCTACTTGCCTGCCTGCCTACCTGCCTAACTGCCTACTCCCTACCTGCCTACTCCCTACCTGCCTACCCAACCTACCAACCCCACCCACCCACCCACCCACCC